ATCTCAAACAAGTTCTGTTGAAAGTCAGTGTCATATGGGAACTAGCTATCATCATACATACATAGGTACATAATTACATGTCTTATTCGATATTGGCGTTTAAGACTAGTTTTACGTGCCGCGTAAATAATATGATTTGTGAGTTGTATTCACTGGTATCTGCTGGCGCAACTTAATCTATTTGCGGTTAGCCCACGTGGTTGTATCAAAACCACGATATCCTCAGATATTTACCACATTCGCATCATTATTAATGTTTTATTTAATGTTGGCCAATCCATCTTTATGCCAATTCTGATTCCCAAGTTGCAAATCAACACTGACTTCTCGAGGCACTGTCAAAGCTTTAGAAAAGCGACAAGGATCAATTACCAGGAAAATACTGTTTTCCGAGTATCGTTGTATGCCGTTTTATTTATGATTTTAACCAAATATTGTTGTTGTATTCTCACAAAAGATGTTCATTAATTTTTTTCGACGAGATTAAAAATAAAATCTACGATAATGGCTTCATTCGTTAAAGCGAGCGATGTGAAATTACTGAACGGCCTGAAACGGTGAATGTGAAACAACAAATAAATAAAGTTTTAACTTTTGCATTTTGTATTAAAATGAAATATATTATTATATTCGACATACATCTCTATTATCTTGAACAGATTTCTATAAATAGCCTTCAACCGGGAAATTGATTTAACTCGTCGAGTACCGGTTTTATAGACACAATTAAAGAACAATAGATCGCGGTCACCGGTGACCGCTTGGTGTTTGACAGATTAAGTAACCAGGTCGCATTATATGTGTGGTGAATATTACAATATTTTCCAATAGCAATCTTATTATTTTACAGGACTGCACGTGTTCCTATTGAAGACTAAAACGTAGTATAAACGTAGTAAAGTATACGTAATACATTAAAGTGTTACTATTTTATATAACAAGAGATCCTTTTAGTAGAAATATCTAGTAATAAAAAAATGTTTGTATGTTTAGTCCTTTATGTATGCCAGCCATAATACATTGTTATGTTCCTATGAATCATGAAATAGTTACGCAATGTGTAGACAGAAAAAAGTAAACAATGGTTTGGTCTCAAACCAAAATTAGACTTTTGACCTCAAAAGGGTATCTATGTTATGCTTAGTGACACAATGATAATAAAAGTTGTCATGAGAAATTCACACAGATCCAACATGTGTAACACAAAACTTGTCAGACAGAGTAAATTAATGAAAAAATAATGTTCGGAACAGACACATTTTCCTTATAACCGCAAACTTGGTCGTTGCGAACGTGCCGGTAATAAGCTTATGGCTCATCAGCCAATATAGTTCGCCATCCAACATCGATTGGGTTTTCCGTTTTGTCTGTCATAACGGACACTCGGTCCCTTATCGTTACCAACACTATTATCGCTGATTAGTTCGTGATTGTGGAAATTGTGAGTTCGATATTTCACTTGCTACTGCATGCAACTAACTAATTCACCTTTCAATAACACAAATTTTCGTTTTAACCCTGTGATGCTCTATTTCAGATTATAAAATTAATGATTGTAAGCAAACGTAGTAACTATTTCCAATTTAGTAATTTATTATTCGTTATGTTTAATAGAGATATAATATATGCCTCTAATATTATAGTACTAGCATTGCCCTATAATATTTAATCATAGAATTTAACAACAGACGTAATTGCTTGTTTAGACGGGTTAAAGCTTTGTTGTTGGCGTTAATTAATATGAAAATACAAGTTAAAATGAGGGCAAATTGGAAATTGATTAATATAGAGGTAGTTCTAAGAGTAACATGGCTAGTGGGTTGAAATGTCACGCTCACTCAAATGTTATTATGTCGATACGTTGAGGGTTGGTGCTGATGAAAAGGTTGATTCGTACTAACGCAATTCAGACGTCACATGTTTCTTCCGCAGAAATTGATCCTGACAAAGTACTGATCTGGCAGAGACTGGCAACATAGATTTACACCTGACATTATTAATACTATTTTCCGACGTTTTCGTCGATGTGTTGAATTTCTATCTCATACAAACCCTGTGATAACGGGTACGACAAAATAGGAGTTACACAATTTAGTCGAGCAGTACAGGAGTTATGAGACTGAGTACTCCTCAGTTTCAGTCATTACCAACATCATCATCATCATTACAGCCACAGGCCATTGACTGCTGAACATAGGCCTCCCCCAATGACTTTCAGATCGGCCTACCTGTGACCCTTATTAAATCCTCTGTACACAATGAACCATGGGTGGACATCCTACGCTGCGCCTGTAGCTTCAGTCGGCCAGTTTCAATGGCCATATCTGCTGTTTTCTCTGTTGTTTAAGTGTGGGAGACCCATTTGACCCGAATGGGCCGGCTCGACCGGAGTGATACCACGGTCTCACAGAAAACCGACGTGAAACAATGCTTGCGTTGTGTTTCGTCGTGTGAGTGAGGTTACCGTAGCCACACTTCTTCAATCTCCCCAATCCCTGAATTCCCAACAATCCTCAAATTCATAACCTTAACATTCGGCGTCTTCACTTTCGAGCCTTCACGACACGACACGAAAAAAATACATATGCCTACAATAAACTTAACAAGTAGTAAGAGACTTGGATATATGACAATTCTGAATAGGAATATTGCAAGGGATGTTCAGATTCGACCAAACGATATATGTGAATAATGAAATTCTATTGGTTGGTTTAAATACTTGGTTCATGTCAACTACGCTTTGGTTGAGTGTGGACCCTAGTTGTAGAAACCACATGTCAGTCACTCACTTGGTATAATACTGACGTACAACGAAAACCGGTGAGTCTTTGCTTCGAGTATGTATTTGAGAAAGATGCCAGTAGAAATAAAAGTAATTGAAATGAAAATTAGTCTTATGATAAAGTCAAAGTTCAAATTAAATATCATCGACTGTGTCGTTGGCTGAGTGGTCGCAATTGCGACTGCCGGCAAAGGGTCTCGGGATCGATTCCCAGGTCTGGCAAAGTATTACTGGGTTTTTTAAACATTCTCAGTAGTAACACGGAGTCTGGATATATGTAAATAGTGAAAAGTGGGTGGGTACACCTCTAGCTACCCTTTTGAGGATAAAAGGCGTGATGTTATGTTATGTTATGTTCTATTTGTTGCATACATATTTAATGCTGTAAGTACTAGTAAGTAAGTAGGCGTTGAAATGTTTTAAATACTTTAATTATAATATTTTAACGTGAACACTTAAAAGGCTTGATAATGTAAACAGTAAATGACAAGAGATAAACGTTAGCTATAGCACGATAGAATCTTTTGCCGTCAATATTCCTTCGGAAGAGGGGGTGGCCTTTAAATTAACCTTATTCCCCGTAAATCTGACACTCTGCCGTGGGTGTTGTATGAAAATAGCCTCAGGATATTCCTCAGTACCCAACTACGAATATTATAATATAATATTATTAAAGTGTTGATGTTTCATGTTCTATAATGTACATACATATAGTAAAATGTATCTTGAAACATGTTTTCCCTAATTAATTATGTTAATAATGTTTAAATAAACATACGTAGCTACTGTTTTTTGTTACGAAATTGTTAATAGGTTTTTGTTTATACTGGAATTTCTATAAATAGATGGTAGCTCTAGATAGAAGTGGAACTGGTTCTAAGAATTACTTAAGTAAGGGTCACTGCCACACACCTTGGAGTATTCAAGTTGTTGCTAAACATGGATTAATGTGACGTGTAATAATCTTGTTTTTTATTACTTATTCTATTTATTCTACTATTTTACTTTCTTTATGTCACTGAGTAGATATTTCTTGACAGTCTTTGTATCTCCTTCTATTAATAAACTTACTCTAATTGCTTACGGAACGGATCATAGTGACAATACGTAGGTGCGTACTTACAAACGTTCATATCTCTGTGTGTAGGTATATATTAAGTACTAGCTACTTCCACGCGGTTTCACACGCTCTGCTCAGCTCCTATTGGTCGTAGCGTGATGTTTTATAGCCTATAGCCATCCTCGATAAATGCGCTATCCAACACAATGAATTATTCAAATCAGACTTGTAGTAACGGAGATAAGCGCGTTCAAACATACAAACACAAAACAAACTCTTCCGCTTTATATAATAGTATAAAATCACAATCTTATGGTTTATTCTCATTATTATGGTTTATTTTAAGTACTAAGTGAGACTTAAACCACTCGTTATGACCTAAGTCTGACTCTATATTAACAATATTTATTTCAAGAATTCTGAGACAACACAAAATATTATAGCAACTTACTATTTATAAAATAGTATTATGATATTTTATAATTTAATTCAGTTTCAAGTTTGCAATTGAAATGAGATGAAAAAGTTTATTTTCTCTCAATGAAACCTTATTCGCAAATACTTACCTAATAAAGAACTAGTATTATATTTCTGTCAGTGGATTTGAAGTTGAGTGGGTTATAAAAATGTTAAAGTTGATTTACAAAATTGAATGTAAAAATATATACAATTAAACTGCTTTAAACATTTAAAATATCAAATTCTGAGATCAAATAAATAACAACATTAGATTCATTTAACAAGTAGATTCATTTAAAACAATCTGTGTTACATAATTAGTAGAGAGATATTCTACGGAGCAGTGCCTGTTTTTTCTTATGTCCTGAGTAATTAGTAAACACATGTCGAGACACAAACACAACTTGCTCAGAAACTGTTTATCGAACTTTCACTTAAAATTCTTATAAATACATACATGGATTAACAAACGGCAGACATAGCCGTTTTCTATCTCAGCCAAAACAGCAATACTTCGATAAATGATAAAAATGGCGTAAAGCGGTCAGTGGCCTTCTGACAGTGAGTGCAGCGCGTGTAATTTGCACCAGATAACCCCCCCTCCAAGCAATCGCCCCTTGGAGGTAAGTTGCGAAGCGGACCTTTCTCTGTTTGCGGACAGTGACATAGTGACCGTGTTAGCGGCGGAGGGCTCATGCCATGCACCAGTACAGCGTCGTGGTCGCCGCTTACTACCTGAGCGCCGCGCTCGCCGCCACCTCAACCAGCATGCGCCCCGAACCGGACCTCAGCTTCGCCGAATCCGTCTACGCCAAACTCTCCGGTGCATGTAAGTCAATGTCCTTCACCTCCATCGCTTATGCGTGTTAATCGGTTAATCACTAGAATATTTTGATGTCTTAACTGATCTCATTTTTTGTATTCGCAGGTCGAGCGATAATGGACTTGCGCTACAACTCCATGACAGACCAAAAAGATCTCATAAAAACTATTAAGATCATACAGTTAGACGGGAATACAATTAGATCTTTTCCAATTAATGAAGCATTTACAAACCTAACGAAACCTGGAACTTTCGACATAACAAAACAGACCAAAATTGTCATCCACGGTTATAAAGACAGTTCGCAATCTGCAGTGCCTTTGGACTTAGCTAATGCTTACAACGACAAAAAAATGTTCAACGTATTTTTAGTGGATGCAGAAGAAATGAACAAAGATGGATACATTTTATCTGCACACAATTCACGGCTAATAGGTAAGAGACTTGCAAACCTATTGGCTAATCTAGAGCACTTTGGGGCGAATGCTGAAGACTTTCATTTATTGGGAATCAGTCTAGGTGCGCATATTGCAGGCTGGGCCGGGAAATATTTCCAACAGTATAAAGCGCGCAGCTTAGGACGTATTACTGGATTGGATCCTGCGGGCCCATGCTTCTCATACGCATATAGTGGCCAGCGGTTAGATAAATCCGATGCCGCCTACGTAGATGTACTGCACTCAAATAGATTAATACAAGGAATTATCGAGCCACTGGGACATGCGGATTTCTACATAAACGGCGGAGGACCGAATCAACCAGGATGTTTCATGCCGTCGTGCAGTCATCTTCGCGCAGCACAAGTTTACACGGAAAGCATAAAAATGCCAATGTCTTTTGTTGGAGTTCGATGCCAAAGTTGGAAGCATTTCGAAGCGAATGCCTGTGAGAAAGATGAGTACGCAGTCTTGGGCTACGGATCTTCAACTACGACTCGCGGACTTTATTACTTACGTACTTCACCAAAGTCGCCTTTCGGTCTCGGGATGGATGGAGTGAAAAATAAAGAACCAGTTACCGATAACTGGTTGAAAAGTTTTAGTATGCGTGAATTAAATATACCTTTAGTTTAAGTGTTAGCTCAATCTCGTTGTGTAATAAATTGTTGCCATACTTTTTAATGACTTTCTTTGTGTGTCATGCAAAAAATTGATTGATATAAAATTTCTTAAAGTGATTTCTGTGAGTGTTTCAACGTTATTGCATAAACATTTTCTGGGACGACTGTGTATTAGATTACTCGTAGTGCCTTCAATTGTCCGCTGAAACAAAGGTGTCTTACTTAACAATTTCGCAAACGCTGTGGTGAACCATTACGAATGCAAGATCGACTTGAGCATCGCGGTACAATAAATACTTACTGTTGATAATTTATTAGTCACTTGATTAGCAAACAATACATTACTGTGATCTATTTCCTAACAGTGTTATCTAATGTAGGCAGAGCATTTTATTGTATTTTGTGAGTTCTAATTGTGTGTGCAGACTTCTCTTTATGTTCCTGACGTGACATGTTTGCAAAACGACGATAATTCGCCATTTTTTATTTCACGTGTCATTTAAAGTTTTCAAAAGGTATTTTGGTAAATGTTCCTTTTGTTTAGTTATTATTTGTTTTATACAAATTGTATAAAAATGTGTTATATATACCTAGCTATTCAAATTTTAAGTCAACCTCATCTCAATATGGTTACCGAAGTTCGAATCATTGTAATGGCAAAATAGGCTAACACAAAAATAATGATTTCGTTATTGTTATTCAATCTTCAATTCCTTTGATCTTTAAAAAGGATATAATATGTAAATGGGTGTAGCATGTAGGTATGTAGGTAGATACATAGATACTTACCTAGAAAATTTTTAACAAGGCATCATGATATTAACAAAAAATAAGTGGGTAATAACAGAAACAAACAAAAACACCTTTTTACTAGAATGTGGACATAAATACGATCGTATGTTTGGAGGAAACTAAAATTAGTCGGTATCACATAACACGTGGCTAAAACACAGTTGAACACAGACGCAGTGACATTAGCAGACTGTATGAGTACGATACAGTTAAAATAAAACAGCAAGGAAATAAACCGAATACCTTCATCAACATTAAACCGTTACATAGTAAACGAAACTGTTGCTGTCTCTAATTCACCCAACGTGACGAGTTACGTGAATAAAGGTGTAGTAATCATTTCAAGTTCGAGTTGCCCGGTAGGTGTGGAAACGGAAACGGGTTGTTACCGGTCCGACAACGACTGACGGTATACGACACACACGGCTCACTTAACGCGATTGTTGTCTTACCCCGATACCCTATTCATTAATCAACTTCTATACCGTACCAGCCAGCAATTAGCTTTACATTCTGATTTCTAAGGGAATTCGTACGACATTTTGCAGCCACGACACTACTTCATTCAATCTCTAGTTACGCACTCCATTTATTATGTCAGTCGTTATATAACTGTCCAATCCATTTATTACCTTTGTTGACCAAGAAAATGTATAACACGATTTCACTGTGTGTAATTTAAAAAATAATGAAGCGGAGGAGGGTTCGTAACTTTGGACGGGACATTTTAAAGTTAAATTAAAGACAAAGTACTATTCTGTGTGCGTAACCTTTTACCTACGCTATGTCAATAGTAACCTCGACCATAATTGACTGAATGACATTTTTTACCTCTATGTAGAACCCACATTCTTAGTCAGATATTATTGACGAACGACTGTTGTAGATATGTATCTATATGTAGAGTAAACGGAGCTAAAGGCTTTTCAATTTCTTTTTATAGGCACTTACTTGTCATTACTTCATAGTCCGCCATAAGAGTTGTTTTATGTCGTGTAACTGTTCTTGAATACTCGTTAGTTAGCAAAAACTGTGTCGAAAATTATACAACACGCTGTTTAAATCATGTGTTCGTATAAGTAACAATCAGTTTCATTGATCGAATGTATGCACGTGAAGCCTACGAGGCCAAAGGCTTGCGTTCACCTCGCTGCGCGCTGGAGCTACGTGTACACATGCAACAGGATTACGCTGTAAGGATTACGCAGTTAAAGGTTCTTGTTAAAGTGGAATATAGGTGCTTTGGTAGCGCGCGGACGCCCAGCACATGGAATCAAATGGTAGTAGAGGCTGTTTAGGCACGTACATTTGCGTATTACTTAAAAGTTCAACTGCTATAAAGATAAGTTATGTTCCATGTGCTATGTGATGAGTATTTACACATCAGCCAAATAAATATTTTATAGACTTCTTAATAAAATGTAAATGGTTTTGTTATAAGGTTATTTAACTTAATGGAATTTCGAAGGAGTTTCTGAAGAAAAAACTTTGCAGTTCTTATTGGTTTGAAGCCTTCTCGAAATTGATCAACCCTTTATTAAGTACAAGTTTCAAAGAAAATGGTTGAGGGGACATTTGTGTTTCAAGTGCTAATGGATAGTCAGTACCTAATACCTAGGTGTTTAAATCGAGTGAAGTATTCCCAAGAGACTTGACGCGAGTGATAGGTGAAGCGAGCGCTGTGTAGGTAAACATCTAAATATCTCGATGTCTAAATGAATTTACTAAGTTCAACTCCCTGTTGTGTGCATTAAATAACTTATTTTTATAAAACATCTCCAACAGTCAAATATTGAAATTCTCATAATATTGTGCCTGAGTGAATGAATGATACATGTTTATGTCATAAATGAAAAATGTTGACGTCTAACTTTTCTTGGAACGCTCATAAAGTAGAAAATAATTACGTTACGTTATATATTTTTAGGACCTCTTTTGATAAAAGTTTATTTTTATTGTAAACGTAAATATCTGTTGAAAGCCCATGTCGAGTTTATTTGTTATTGTATAATACACGGTATCGCAATATCAAATAATTACTCGTAGCAAAAAACAAGTTACCGTTTTACATAAGGTTTTAAGCAACTGTCGCAGCGAATTTTGTGTTTTTAGAAAATGTACCTCGAAGTTGTCATGAAACATGTTCAGTAAAATATTATTTGGATGTGAATAAACTAGCCTGGAAGGTAATGCAATACCCCTGCTTGTGGACTCTGCACTCAACTCTCGCGTGCTCCGTAAGTAGTAAACGAAGCGGTACAAACACAACAACTTTTGAAATTTAATCTGCTACTGCCTCATCGGATTTGAATAAAATAATAATACACTGCTTAAATTTAAGTAGAGATTGCAATCGATGTTTATGGGTTATTAACTTCGAAACGAATATTGAATAACTAGTTCAAAAAAGTGTTAAAACTTCAATTTTGTGATGCTAATAGCGGTGCCACTCGATATTGAGTAGGAATTAATGGTTAAGAAAATTACTGATTTTGGGCTATTTGACCATTACCTCATTTGGAGGTAAGCGATGATCTGGCCATCGGTTGATCACGCCTCCCCATAAGCAACCTATTCACACGGGCTTTCAAAACGATATTTTTTCCTTAATGGAATAGGCAAATACATTTAGGTACTTATTACCAGCCAATTAGTCAGAAAATCAGAAATGGAGCGTATTTGTCTCTAAACGAGTAGACAGAGACCTAATTGCTAATACTTATTTTCGTTAGTAGTTAATACGTAAGGTAATGTTAACTTATTGTATACTTACTAATACTCGTTTAAAAAAATATAGCTGTTCCACAATACATTTCAAGGTTAAAAAATTCAATCATATATTTTATTTACCCAACAAATACACTCAAAAATTAAGATCAACAGGTATACTTTTTTCTACCATTATAACTCTTGAAACATTTCATTTTGTATTCCACAATGAATTCAAAAGTTTTAAGCGAAGCAATCTTAGTTTTTAAAGGAGTACAAATTGTTTAAAGAATATTTTTGTATATTCTGTTAATTGTTTTTCTTTGTTTGTGTTTGAATTGTTGGTCTAAACAATAGTCGAAGTGGTCCCCGAGCCGTGCTAATACTGCTTCAACTAATTAATGGACAATCTGTTGGATTAGAACGGGGAACTCGACTAGTGGATACTATACATATAGGATATCCTTATCTCTTAATTGCCTAGCATTATTGTTGGAGCGATATGTGACTATGCGTGCTATTTTATGCTACCCTGGTAGGTATAGGTGTGACTAGGTGTGTATATAATTTTTGAACCTTTAGTATATTCTACCAACTTTAAGATATGGCAGGCCTAAAACGTATGCTATTAGGTAAATCGATATTAAAATATTATACGTAGCAAGTAGGTTCTTACATATATAGTACCTAATCATTCATCTGTTCTAAAAACAGGTAATTTAACAATCTCTATTTACGCATAAATTATACAAAAACACTCAATTAATGTATCAAGCCTACAAAAGTAGATCTAATTAAAATAATCTAAAAATAAATGAAGTTTTTTACATAACAGAATTATCATTTGCTCTTTTAAACTTAAAAACAAGAATAATGTTCCATTTGAGTAAACACCCTAGAAAGTGTCGCTATTACCTTGACAAACGGCCATTTAATGAACCTTTATGTAACATTGTTTCTTAACTATGACATAACTCATCTTCCGGGAACAATACATGGAAGTATAATTACGGAAATCGTTATTTTCGGTGTAAGTGGATAATGTAGATTACACTTCAGTCACTTTGGTTAAGTCGGGCAGTTATGTTGAATGGTGTCTCGGACGCATTATAACTGAGTTACCGAACAGATTTTCCGTATAAAAGAAACGGAAACGCTCGTAGAGAAAAAATAGATGTTCTTCTGACCAAGAAAACAAAGTAATGATGAAGAATGTTTGTCCTGTTCAATAACAATTTATATAGGTAATAAGTACATATATATCAAGTACAAATGATTTAGGTAATAAGTACATATATATCAATCAAACTCTATAATTAATTATGATATTATAACTTGACAATTCTACACACATCAAAGTAATTAAATATTCATAACGGAGTGAATGCTTAAAACTAAACAAAATAAACAGACACGATAATCTGATAATTTTCCCAAAACATTATTTAATCAGGACTTATTTCGCACAAAGTACTAATCAATATTTTGACACCTCCTGCTAACCTTTATTCAGTCCAGTGACTAGGTCCGAACCTAAAGTGTCAATGACCTTTAAAGGCA